CACCAATGCTTGTTATCCCGAAGCCACTCATAATGGCCCTCCTCATAATGCTTGGAGATGAATTGAATTTGCCCCAAATGTTTCATATCAAGGTATAGGGAGGCGGCATCTCCAACCGGCTTGCAATATGGCAAATGAAGATCGAGGTGTAGGTTGGTCAAGAGCCTAGTGACCATTCCCCCACAAGGAATCTCTTCGATGTCCCGGTCTTGCAAAGCTGCATAGTAAGTGGCAAAGATGTACCCCAAGTTCAACCGGCCACGATAATCTCCTCTAGTGGCCAACCATAAAATTTTGAGCTCCAATTTTCTCATCTTGCCCAACTCTTGCCTGGGGAAAACTGAGTACCCCAAAAGACGGTGAACAACCCAAAGACAAGGTTGGTACACGTTGCTAATCTCGGCCAATTTGGTGACAAACTCACCACCTCTGGAGATATCATCCCACCAAGAATCCTGATCATACTCCTAAAAAATATAAGGCTCTAGATCAAAGATGTCACCATGAGGATCAAAATCTAGAGCGACATTGAATTTCTCTAAGGAATAGTCGAAGAAGTTGTTGAAAATCTGGAAACAAACCCTATATTGACCTTCTATGGGAACTATCTCAACCGTAGCAAAGAACTCGAGAATGGGCTCAACATAGGTGCGATAGCTATGGGAGATGAATGTGCCCAACCAAAGGTTGATCAATAGCTCCCTTACATCCTCAGCAATCCCCAACGCGGACATGTCGGGTTGGAAGTAGTGCCTTGTGGGCTTGAGGGAGCGGTTTTCCTTTAATTGATGGTATCGGTTCTTTTGTTTTTTATCGTGGATTTTTCTTTTGGGTGGTGGAGTAGGTTTGCGTTTTTGGGAGGTGGATGTGATTGGGGTAGGTTCAACAATGGAGGTGTTTGTTTTGCGTTTATTGACAAGGTTTTTGAGGACTTTCAACATGATGAACTCCAAGTGTAAGATCACAAAAACCAATCACCAAATTTCCAACAACAATTCGCAAAATTCACCAACCAAGAACTTTAATTTCCACCAATCACAATTCCAATCCAAATTGCCAAACAACACAAAACAACCAAAAATTTCTTCCCACACAATCAAAATCACAAGAAGAACTAACCAATACCACAATATCACCTTACTACCCAAACTACCAAAATTCAAATTCCAAATTTCTCAACAAAATTGCTCACAAATGCTACAATATCAACAAACAACACAATGTGAGTTGAAATCAAACAATAAACAAAACAATTAATCATCAAAAAACCAATATCAATCATCAAAATCATAAAAAATGATACTACTACTATCCATGCTCATGAACTAATCAAAACTTGCAAATATATGACATAATTAAGCAATTAAAAGCTAGAGAAGATGACTATACCATTTATGAAGCAAGATTTAACCACTTTTAGCCACCAATTCCCACCAAATTGAAAAGCCCCAAATTATACCCAAGTATGTAGGAGAGAGATTGGAGGTTTAATTTGGTGAAAGTAGTATGAATTTGATGATTTGGATGAAAATGTAGAAGTTATTAGTGAATTTGAAATGAAAAATTGAGTGATTTGTGTTGAAATTTGATGAGAATGAGATAAGGGAGGCACGGGATTGCTGGCGCGCCCGCACTAGCCAGGTGCGCGGCCGCACCAACCATGTGCGCGCCCGCACCTGTGCCTAGCCTGATTCTTCTTCTTTTTTTTTGGTGCGTTTATCGGTGGGTTTATCGATCAAGATCAGCATTTGGGCTCTTGTACCCACTGAAAGTGGAAGATTCAAATCAAGACTTTAGTGGGTTCAAAATCCCAAAATAATGGTAGCACCGCATGAACCCACCAAGTACAAAATTCCTTCAACTTTAAAGCACAAAATTCCTTATCTTACCTCACTAAAATTCTTACCCTTCTACCTCAAATTCCGATGATATCGAATATAATCACATCAAAAACTGCAAACACCTTCTAATTCCTCATGCTCACTTGATGAAATCCAATCCCAAAAATGCAACATACAAATCAAAACAAGTAGAAAGCGAAAGAAAAGAAACTAAAAGAAGGAAAAATAAGAAAAATTCAAAAATCAAAAGGAAAAGTTAAAAATCTCTAGGTTGCCTCCCAGGAAGCGCTTGCTTATGGTCCTAAACTCGACCCTTCCTCCAAATCATGGAGGGTCACAGAACACCACCTTTTTCAAGGTAGTGGATAGAGAAAATTCCTCTTCAACTTCTAGCAACCTCTTGTTGTTGCTTGATGAAACTTCCTTCAAAGACTTTTCAATTGCAAATTTTTCTTTCCGTAACTTTTTTCTCTCTCTCTTCTTCTTAGAATCACGAGCTTTATTCTTTGGCTTGTAGTTCATTGTAGATGGTTCCTCACCATCCATACTCATGGAAACTTCCCCTTCATCTTGAGGATAAAGCTCAAACGAATGAGGAATTTCAACTTCCTCCTCGTACATAAGCTTAGGAATTATCATTTTCTCTTCACTAACCTTCTTGCCATCAAAACTTGAAGGAGCATCATCACAATTCTCAAGAACATCATTAGTTGAAGAATCAATCATGCACACATTATCAATAGAGCGAGCGGAATTAGCACACATAATTCCTTGCACAAGAGACAAAGACTCATGCATTGGTTTCAACTTAAAACTTTCCTCTTTCTTACCAACTCTCAAGGTAATACGACCTCCTTTCACATCTATTCAGTCTCCCGAAGTGGCTAAGAAAGGTCTTCCTAAAATGATAGGGATATGCATGGCCATTTTCCGCAATCTCAAGCACAATGTAATCAACGGAAATAGTGAACCCTCCTATCTTAAGAGGAACATCCTCAACTCTCTCCTTTGGAATCATAATAGTCCGATCGGCCAATTGAAGGGTTATGTTAGATGGGAGGAGCTCACCTAGATTAAGTTTCTTGAAAATGGAACAAGGCATGACGCTCACACTAGCTCCAAGATCACAAAAAGCAGTATCAAACTTTTTTCCCTTGATCTCACATGGAATAGAGAAATTACCCGGATCCTCCATCTTCTTAGGAAACTCATTATGAATGAAAGCACTACAAGAATTCCCAACTTCAACCGAATCAACCTCATTACACTTTCTCTTCCCGCTCAAAATCTCCTTACGAAACTTAGAAAACCTAGGAATTTGGGTACATTGGTGAAGGGGATAGAAAGGTGAACTTCCTTGAGCATAGCAAGAAACTTTCCAAATTGCTCATACATTTTGTGCCTCAAGAATTTTTGTGGGTATGGAAGGTCGGGTCTCCACACTTCCTAACGCTCTTTCTCACTACTCCTCTTTTTCTCTTGTACCTCCTCATAACTCACACTCTTAGACACAACCTTCTAAACCTCCTCTCTTGGGTCACTCCTCTCCTCATCCTCCTCAATGGACCTTGAAACTCCCTCATTAGGAACACTCCCACTCCTAGTGGTGATTGAATACACGGGTTTCTTAGGTTCCAAACCTTGCGAAGGCAAAGAGGATAGACTGGCACAATCCTTTAGAGTGTTGGCTAGTTGGGTTATTTGTGTCTCAAGCATTTTGTTATGAGTCATCATCTCATTAAATTTCTTGTCACTCACCGCCATATAGGTGTTTATGATCTTTGTATGGTTATCAATCATTTCTTCCAAATTTGTCTTAAATGATGATGGTTAGGAATAAGAATTTTCACCATTGGCTTGAGGCTTTGGAGAAAAACCGGGAGGGGGTCCCCTTTGGTTGTTATTTTGAAAACTTCCCCGATTTTTGTTGTTGTTCCAATGCCTAGGCCTTGACTATTTCCACCATTATGGTAATGGCTACCAAAGCCTTGAGATTATCTTTGGTTTCCATACCCATGGCTTGGGTTTTGATTACTATAACCTTGGTTATTATAGTTACCTCGGAAACCTTGGTTTCCTTGGTTCCTATAGCCTCCATTGTTGTAGCTAGTTATCGAAACCACCTTGGGGGTGAGAATTCCTATTGCCAAAATTCTTAGGTCCATCAAACCTTTGACCATCATTGACATTAGACACAAAGTTCACATGTTCACATTCGTTATTTTCAACATCATCACATCCATCAACAAATGTTTGAGAACACATGGAAGAATCATGATAATAAGATTCACAAGAATCACAAAATAGACAACCACTTGGCATGTTATAGGAAGTAGAAGGAGAAGAGTTAGAAAGTGTACCTCTCCCTTAGGGTTGGGAAGGAAGACTCAATGAATTCGTAGAAATACTCTCAATCTTTGCTTTAATCAATGTAATTTCCTTCCCTAGATTTGAAATTTGGGAGGACAAGTTATTAATCGCGTTGAGATTATCCATCTAATTAACCGTCGAGCCACTCTTGCTCGTAGACTCCCTCTCTCCTTCTTGCCAATCTCTATAGTATCTCCCCACATCCTCAATTATGTCAACTACCTCTTCTTCCGTCCTATTCATTGTAGGATCTCCGGCTCCTCCATCTAGGCATGACTTGCCTTGGGCACTCAAGCCTCCATAGAAAATTTGTATTACTTGATAGGTAAGAATTCCATGATGTGGGAATTCTCTTTGGTACTCCTTGTACCTCTCCCATGCTTCATATATATTCTCATTAGTCGTTTGTTTGAATCCTTGGATCAAGGCACTAGCCTCCGCCAATACTACAAAAAAGGGGTTAGAGAATGGCTGAAACGTGCTTTATAGAACTTTTTAGGACCGTTCTTTTACTAAGCGATGTATAAAGTATATAGAACGGGTGAAAGAGGTGTTTCATAAGCCCTGAACGGTCATCATACACAAACGTTCTCTTTTCTCACTCTAAAATAAGAAAATAAGGTAAGAAAAGGCAAAGTCTATCTTACTTGACCGTTGTTTTTTTAATACAAAAGTGAACGGTTTTGTGAGGAAACAGTTCTCAATTCTTATATTAAAAAACAAAAAAAAAAAAAAAAAATTGAAATTCTGTGAATCAATAAACTCAACCCCAAACTGCCAAACACATCGTAGATAGAACTGTAGAAAACTGAAATTTTTATCATAAATGTAAAATTCAAATTACAACATTTGATGAGCATCTTAGATCTTATACCCAAAAAAGTAACTTTTAATTATAGATTATTGTACAAATATTCTAAGCTAAGAGAACAAATACAACAATGCATTAGTCTTTAAACAACTCTACTTATTTTCTTCAATCTGATTGATCTGCGATACAAAAATAAAATAAAAAATGGTGTTAGGTGTAGTTTAGCCGAGGATAAAACTCGATAAATCGCTAACAAAAAAATTAAGAGTTATAAAAATCAATGCAAATATAAATAGCCAAAAATTAACATTGGCAAATTAATTCATTGACATTAATTTTGAGGTAATGGAGACGAAATGAACTTAAATTAGTAAGTGAAGGAAATCTTTTCCGTAACTTTTCCATTCCAATGTACAAAATATATATACATGGTATAAGGCTTATCATCAACTACTTAATAGGAAATATATCTAATTACAATTTAAACTATCCTATAAACAAGCTAACAGAATATTTACATTGACCATAATATATCTTAACAGTAAGTATTGTTTGAGTGGCCACAAAATACAAATTTTGAGGTAATGGAGACGAAATGAACTTATAAGAATTAAGATCTATATTTATTTTAGTTGTATATATAATGCTAGATTACCAGAATAAAAACTACAATGGAAAATAACAATAAAATTAAGAGTAAGATCAAAATTAGAAGTGACACAAGAATACAAAACAAATGACAACCAACAAAGAAATGTCAGATCTACAAAAACCAAAAGATTAAAAAACCAATTCATCCAAATTAGCCAATTGAAAAATGAGTGATAAAAATCAAAAGCAGTAGTAATAAAAATACGAAAAATATCACCAACAACCAAAGATTTACAGATCTAAAAAACGAACACATTAAAAAAAAGTTAGAATCACACCTTTATAGTTAGTTCTGACGATTGATTCTTGAGTAAATACATCTCGAAGATTTTAAGCTTTTGCTTTATGGATCTTGAAAATTTAGAATAAAAGTAATAGACTGAGACTGGTGAACATTAAAGCGGCGGTAATGAGGAAAAAGATGCGGTGATTCGGCCCAATACGAACTACTTGACGACTCTAATGAGCACTCAATCAGTCTATTATGGCTTGCGGAGGATGGTCACAAAGCGCTAGAAGGTGGTTTCAAGCGAAGGAATCTAGGATGGGTTCTCTAGCTTGCAGAAGTCTATCATGGCAGAATTGGAGGCAGTTATAGGCGTAGCAGTCTTCAGGCGGTATTCTCTAGCTTGAAGAAGATATTCACAACAAATAGCGGGATGACATTCCCAGGCTTGCGGAAGGTTATCAAAAATACAAATGCAGCAATAAATCGGTTACCCCAGAGACGTGTGCTCGACGGTGCAAGATATGCGTTTCTTAACTCTTTTATCTTTTTTAACTAACGCTAGTTTTGCAGGTATTGGCGTTACAAGAATGATTTAGGATCGCAGAACGTTCTGAATCATTTCCTTCCCTATCGATACTTTGACTTTTGTTTCCGAAACTTGCGTTTCTCTAAACTCAGTCATAGTGGTGGCTTCTGTATACAACCATTTGTGTCTCCCCAAAACCAAACCAGGTGATGAGTACCTTTCGCGTCGAATCATAATCGAATAGTTTTTTTTTTTCTTTCTCTTTGTTTTTGAAAACCTATTTTAAGAAAACAGCCAATCCGGTTTGGTTTGGTCCATGGAAAGGGTCCAATAATGGTATAGTTGGATGGGGCTTGAAAAGAGCTTTCTAATGATATATTAAAAGCCCAATTCCGATGAATAATGAGGAAGTTATGGCCAAATTACTAAAATAGGCCCGGTTTGACCTTCATATGCGGCCCAATGATCTAGAGGAGGGCCTAATATGGATTTATCATTCCTAATGCAATTAGGACTGGTTTTAGTCTTCTAGATTCTTCTAGAAGGTTATTTTCATTCCAAATTCAATTAGCTTTGATAAATTGACTTTGGTTGACTTTTTAGAGTTTTAATCATAATAAAAGAGTGTTTTTGAGGAAAATACGATTTTGCCCTTCTGTACGGCTAAATTTTTATCAGAATTAAGATAACGCGAGAAATTAATTGTTAGTACCTAACGATAGGGATTAGCGCCTGGTGCTAATGCTTGGCGCCTGGCGCTAGCCTTAGCGCCTGGCGCTAATGTCCAGCGTCTGGCGCTAACCTGTTTTATTCTCGTCGAAACTCTGATTTGTTTTTTCTATCCGTCCGGCTGATTTTCTCTATAAAAAGCCTCCTAAAATCTCCGTTTTCTATCATCAATTCTCTAGTTTTCAAGATTTCTTTCTTTCGATTTTATTATTTTCCTTGAAGTTACTAACGCATGTATTTTGTTATTGGAAAGATATACGAGGCATCCAAGTAAGTGCTTTAATTGATTTATTGATTTTATAGTTCTTAGAAATCATGTTAAGGTTGTTATTATGATTCCTAGTGTCATCTTAGGGCGTTTTGATCTTCCTAGTATCATGTTTAGGGTAACAACTATAATTTCTATTATCAAATATGACAATTGTGATTCCTGTGATGCTCCCTTTTCTTCCTAATATTCATGTTAGTATTATGATAGGGTTAAAGCTTTGATCTTTAATGTTTAGTGACATGCTAAGGTTTGTTATTAATCTTGTTAGTATCATGCCTAGGATCTTGCTATTATTATACCTTAACATGATTGTGCTGATGATTATGATTATTATTTTGATTATTATTATGTTGCTTGATATATTTTATTGTTATTGTTTGATCACGCCTTTATGCATATTTAAAGGGAATTTGTACTTGTAATCACGCTTAATAAGATAATTAATAATCTTGTTTAGAGTTAATATGATTATAATTCAAGTGATCGCCAATAATAGTTTATTTGTGCATTAATATTTAACTAATATAGATTAAACAGGTTTAGGGTAAACCTATTGATTGCATGTTAGTCAGAAAACGCGCATGAATACGATCTGAATAAAGTAGAGGCCTATTATTAGGGCAGGTTCAATCTCTTTTAGGTTGGATTTGTACCTTCATCCCCGAACTACCAGTCATGGTTCCAGACCTATAGGAGTTGACGATCTTTTGGATCGTTAAGGGGTGTAACCTTAACCCTATGAATGGTTTACATGTTCCTAAAAGTTGTTGGCGACTCTTTTTCTCTATCTTCTTTCCCTTTGGATGCCATCGTACTTTAGTGTATGATCACAATGGGGTTCAAGCTAGGGGTAATGCTTGAAATATTTCCTACAGTTGATAAATTGACTAATGTATTGTAATATGCCAAGGAAACCCCTAATTTCTTTTTCTGTTTGAGGGGGAGGCATGTCAACAATTGCCTCTATTTTAAAGGGATAGATCTCGATGCCACGTGTTCTTACTATGTATCCGAGTAATTTACCAGAAGTTACTCCAAAGGCGCATTTTTGTGGATTCAATCGCATTTTATATTCTTTTATGCGAGTGAAAAATTTGCGTAAAGCTTTTATATGTCCTATTCTATCTTTGGACTTCACGATCATATCATCCACATTCACTTCTATTTCTTTACGCATCATATCATGCAAGAGAGTCGTAGCCGTTCTTTGGTACATAGCTCCTGCATTTTTTAAACCAAATGGCATGACTGTATAGCAATACGTACCCCCAAGGGGTAATAAAGCATGTCTTTTCTTCATCTTCTTTTGCCATTAAAATTTGGTTGTAACCTGCGTATCCATCCATAAAGGATAACGTCGCATGTTAAGCTGTGTTATCTACCAATATATCAATATGTGGTAGAGGAAAATCGTGTTTAGGGCTAGCTTTATTAAGATCCCTAAAGTCGACACACATATGAACTCGTCCATCCTTTTTAGGGACTGGAATATTGTTCTCTACCCATTCTGGGTAATTACACCGCGAATAAAATCAGCGTCCAACTAATTTTGTACTTCTTCTTTTATTTTTAATGCGACATATGGTTTCATTCGTCGAAGTTTTTGTTTTACTAGTTTTGAAGTAGGGTTCAAGGGAATGGTATGTTCCGCGATTTCCCTATCTATTCCAGGCATGTCCTTGTATGACCAAGCGAACACGTCTTCGAATTCTTTGAGCGTCGATATGAGGGTCGATCGCTCTTTCGGATTTAGAATTAAGCCAATTTTGACTTCTCTCTTATTTTCGTTAGTTCCTATATTAACTATTTTAGTTTCTTCAAAGATAGGGTTCTTTTGTTCTCGTTTATTCATTAATTCAACCAATTTGTTAGTGTTATCATTTTCATTAGATTGATTGTTAAAGCATTTGAAAGATTCAAGAGAAGGCATATACTCGGAAATAGAGCTCATATTATTAAAATCAAAAGAGAGTACATCAAGGGAAGAATCCTTTTTGGGATCTTTGTCCTTAGAACTAGAAAATAAAGACTCAGTAATGCTACAAGGCCTAGATTTTCAGCTTCCCTAGAGTCTACAATAGATTCAATTTCTGATTCTTCAAACATCTTCCCTTCGCCTGTGACGATCTTCAGTTTATCGCCTTTGTGATTGATCCATTTGAAAGATTTCCTCCATCCATGCTCAAAAGTTTCGTTTCAAGGGGTGATCAACAAGGTTGGGTCAAAATCTTCATCTTGAATTGCGTTTTGATTGGTCATTGTTGTGACATGATTTTGCTCTAGTCCAAATAGCAAGTTAAATGCTTGCCCATCATAGCACCCTAGAGTTGGGTGTTTTGATTTAACGATACTAAGATCGTCATCCAAGAAGTAGCTATCACGAAATATTTCAAATCCAGGCTTCTTGATTCCTTCAAAAACTAAGGGTTCCAGAAAGTCGTAGTATGGGTAATCTTTTCCCTCCCTAATGAATTGTCCATTGATAGGTTGTCGTACACCTATCAAAAATAAATTCCTAAAAAAACCAACTAACAATGTAGTAGGGTATGTAGGGTCGAATCCACAGAGAGATGGCTATTTAATCTAACCTATAAGAATTTGGTGAAACTAAACTACGTCACGAAATTGGGGTAAAAAATTGTCTAAATTAAAATAGGAATAAAACAATTAATAAAAAAGACCTAGGGTTATGGTTCATGATGTTTATAGTTTGAAATGTATAAAGTATCAATAACAATTCAATCAATCAATTATCTAGAGCAATTGCTAAGCCTACGGTCGGGTCTTAACGCTCTCAATTCAACATATGTAGTTCGATCGCTAACATAATCAGAATTGCTAATTGTAGGTAAGCCTCTAAAAGCAAGACCTTTCGATTCAAACTCTTATTAACAATAATTAATCAAACAATTGATCAGGTTGCAAGATTAACAATAAACCACTATCAATTAGAGAAATCAATAATCAAAATATTAAAAATACCAATCACGATTCATTATATAATCATGGATTCCCAAACCCTAGAAATAAACTACTCAAACATGGAAGAAATAATAAAAACTAGATCTAAGGAATAAAACATAATTAAAAATAAAAGATAGAAATAAAATACCTCAATGAATTGAAATAATAAACCCAAGAATCATCCATGGAAGAATCCATGGAGATGCCATGAGAAGCTAGGGTTCAAGAGAAAACTCAAAAGAACGTAAAATAACAAAAATCATAAAAAGGCATGAGGGCAAAACAATATCCCCTGGAGTATTTATATTATACTTAAACTAATCTAAAAAAAATAAAGAAAATAATTAAGAAAATAAAGAAAACATAGGTTGAATTATTATTGGATGATAAAAGATGATGTGGCATAAAACCTCAAGCAAAGTCGAAAACACGAGCACCTTATGGGCGGCATTGGCTCGCCAGAACTTGCGGGCGCAGGCTGGTGGCCGCGGGCTGGCAGTAGCTATGGTTGGTGTCGAGTGGTCGCAGTACAGAGGCACATCAATATCCCACGGGTGGCTGACTGCATTGCTTAGATTCAAAGGTCTATAACTTCTGTTCTAGGAAGCTTCTTGAGGCGTGCAACCTATCATTGGAAAGCTCTTCAAGTCTAGTTTCCAAATAAAATTTAATCTCTTCAATACAATATGAATTACTCAAGTTATGATCAAAAGAGTGACAAAAGGTCTGTTTTGCCACTTTGTAAAACATCGTTTAACTTCGTTTCTAACTCAAATTCAATTCCGAAAAGTGCATAACAATGCAACCCTTGTGGATTCTATATTCATTTCTAATTCATATAAATTCCAAAATAAACATCCACTAATGTGGGATCTTTGATTTATAAACTCAATTAATCGACTTCCATCCAAATATCATCTGAATCAACTCCAAACACTACGAAAGCTTCCAAATGTCTATCAAATCACCTGAAACATTAAGAAAAATACAAACGTAGCGTAATAGAG